AGGTGGGTTAGTTATTTCACTCTCTTTGCCTCAACCTCACACCAAGGCCACAGCCACAATGCAGGGACAGAGGAAGCAGTGTGGCCAGAACTTGAACATGAGCTCTGGACTCAGATGCAGATTATGTGGGCTTGAATCCTGGACTTACCACAGGGTAACTGTGTGCCCACAGGTAAGTTACTTAGCCCCTCTGCGCCTCAACTTTCTCTTTGATAAATAAGAATGATAACTGCTGAGCTGAGAGGGACTTGGCATGGTAACATGGATGTCACAAAGTAAGCATTCAGAAGAAATATTAGTGCAGAGTTTGACAGAATTAGCATCAGAGTGACACCCTGTCAAAAGCAAAACTCTCGGAAATCACAAACATCACTACAATTATTTTAAATTATATTAATAAGTGGGTGCATCACCAGGACAGCCAAACTGCGGAAAAAATAATGCTCCTGAGCTTGTGGCCAGAAGTTTCTGGCCTGGCCTCTGCTGTGGCCCTCGGTACAGTGAAACAGATACTTGGTGTCCCCAGGGACTGTCATCCTGGGAAGAACTCATCCGCATCCATCCTTTGATCATCAGACTTGAATCAGTCACAGACCCACAACCCCAAATGTCTCCTGGAGATATAAAAATGTGCATGCTCCAGAAACTCAATTGTTAATAATTATCTTATTCTTCCCTATTCTCTCTCACATGTAAGTTTTAAGCCACTCTGGCCTGTCCTCTTTACTCTGGTCGTTAACTAATAAAATTCCGTGCTTAGATCTTATAACTACAGGCCTTTATAAAATCAGTGAAAGAAATCTTGGGTAAATAAAGAAGAATTTTTTTTTTTCTCCTGCAGCTGCAGAAAAGCAGATAGTATACTCATAATAAAACTGACCTTACAACACTTTTTTTAAAAAAATTATTTTAATTTGACCAGAGAGGGGCAGTGTGTGTGTGTGGTGTGTGTGTGTGTGAGAGAGAGAGAGAGAGAGAGAGAGGAGAGAGAGAGAGAAAGTGAGAAAGCAAGTCGCCAGACCCAGGAATCGAACGGTGATCAGCCATGTGGGAGTCCTGTGCCCTTAACCACTACACCACCTGCCAGTCCCATAAGTGCTAATTCTAACAAATAAGTGCTTCATGGACTTAGAGATTGCTGCTCAGTCACTTGAAAATAACCGTTAACCTTGGAAAAACTGCAATTCTGATTGGTTTTCTTAGCAAATGGTTTTTTGTTTGGGATAATATTTAAATAAACATTTCTGCTTTCTGAAAGTTGTAAGAACTTGTTAATTTCCTTTGCCAATCTAGAAATAATTTATTACACTTTCTTCTTTACCTGGGATCCTGAAAGCAAACTGTTGGATTTCTTATTTAAGTAAAACAAAACAAAGCATTTTTTTCAATGTAAGCCATAATTTGAAAGATTCAGATCAATATTTCCAACTACCCCATTTTTATCTCCCAGGCACCTTGGATCCAACATATCTCAAACTAAATGCACCGTCTTCCTCCAACACTACTTGACCTCTGTGCTTTCTGCCTTGGCCAATCTCCACCCAACCTCCCAGACTAGAAACATGAGTCATCCTTACCTCCTCTCTTGCCCCCTCTCCAAGTTCAGAGTTACTCAATCTAAGCATGTTGGCCATAGCAGCAATGTTAAAATCTTCCACTTTCCTACGCTCACTTCCATATCCCGGCTTAGGTCACCATATTTCTTTCACCCCACCATAGACCACTGTAAGAACCACCAAGCATTGGTAAGCCAGAGTCCAAGTTGATGCTATTATATTTCTTAAAAAGCAATTGAGATGTTACTGCTCTGCTTGAACGCTTCCATGGTCTCCATTTCCCACAGGTCCCCACAGCTCTCCCAATGCTCTCCCTCCTTTTCATTCAGAACACTCCTCTGACCACATGAAAGTCCTTACCTTTCCCTAAACTCATCCTGGATTTTTTTAAAACACCTTCAGGCATTTGCATATTATTATCTCTTGAGTGTAAATGCTCTTACCTCCGACCTCTCTTTCTTTCACTGTCCAGATGGACTGTTGCCTCCTTGGTGAAGAATTGCCTGACTCCAATGAGAAGTGCCAGTGTCTTTCTTGTACGCTCACCTAGTACTTTGCTGACCTTAATCGTAACACCACACAGTGTTGTAACTATTTACTTTTGCATCCTGAAACAGATCACGGGTTCCTTGAAGATGAAAGAAGGTATTTCTTAACTTTCTATCTCTAATCTCGTATTGTAACTGGCATGTAATAGCTATCCAATAAATGTAAAAGGAATGAAACTCCATTTAGTTTTATCTTCAGCATGAGAATAACTGTCCCACTAAGGACCAGATGAAAATAATGTGCATGACAAAGTGTTTTGTCTCATTTGTAGAGAGAGAATGTGGTGATTGGACTTCCTTGGGAACTCTCCGGATGCTTCGCAACTCACTGGTTTGGTTGCAGCATTTGCAGTCTACACTGTGTGTTCCCTCACAAAGAACTTGCTCAGAACTCAGCCAAACACAGAGCTGGGACTTGTGAGTTGAGGTAACCTGAGTTTAAATTTCAGCAACACCACAATCTAATTCTGTGATCTTGAAGACACTGTATTGCTTTCCTAAATCTCTCATCTCTACAACGATGGTGTTAAACTGAGATGATCTATTTTATTCCCTACAAACTCTGCAGTTCTGTAACTACTCTGTGAAAAGCTGAGACTAGCACATGCCCTTATATTTCAGTGAGATTCTCACCTTTCAGTTTCTATGAAAATACAACCAACTCAGGAACTGGAGTCAACATGGTGGGTCTCTTGACTATTAGCACTTGCCAATGCACATTGGGAAAATCCTCAGTCCCCAAATTTCTCCTTTCCTTCGAGATTACTTTTGAAGTGAATGTATTTATTTTGTCTAAATTCCCTTTTTAAAATTCAGATGCCTCTAGAAAGTAGCATATTTCAGATACTTATAGCACTGGGAAGATAGTAAAAGTATGGCAAATATCTTTTCAAATATTTTTCTTGAGTTTCAAGTAGTGTCTCCTTCCTTATGCCTGGACTCTCAACCATAGCACTTGCAAATTTCAGAAAGAACTTGCTTCTGTGCTTTCCCTTCCTGCCTTGAAAATCCATCAGCTCCTTCACTCTATAGAGTCATATGACACATTCGAACTATGTCTACGTTTAACACAAACCTACTTTGATGTTTCTGCCTCTGTATACTCAACTTTTCATTCTCCTCAAACTACCATATTTAGGGATAGAAAAGGAATCAGCAACAAATGGAATGAATAATGGAAGAAATTTGCAGCGTTCAATTAAATCTCCAAAGTAATTGGACACAGTTTCAGAAGAAATGATGAAAAGCAAGTCTCTTCTGAATCTCACTGGAAAGTCTGACTTACCTCTTGCTTCTGCTCCTGCCGGTGGGGAGATGGTGAAAGGTCAACTACCAACACTCATCGTTTGATACCATTACAAGAACAACATTTTACACTTCTTTTCTGTTTCAGTTCATTTAACTAGTATGCATTATTAGTCTCCTATTTATAATAAAAAATCGAGGCACAGAAAGATTTCAAAGTACTTTTCAAGTCACACAGCCCCCTAATGCAGTACTTCTTTTCTTCTGAAAGCACCCCTAAGTTTTTGTCTTGTCTTCATCCTTCTCATTCTACACCCTCTAAAGGGTAAAACCACCAACCTTTCCTCAGAGTACCCCAAGTACTCAGTAGTCCACTGACCTGAAATAGCTGAGGAAGAAGGAGAAGACTGTGATGCTGTCTTGTGTAGTTTCTTAAGGAAGAGGACTGCCTTGATTTTTATAGTTCTAGTTCCTCCCCAGATCAGAGTTTATCGTAATACCCTGAATTTGGCTAGTAATTGTCCCATCAAAAAGTCCCTGAATTCCAGCCATGCGGTTGGCTGATTAGGGACAGCTGGATGGAAATGGATGGACAGAAACTCCAGTGGTCCAGTAAATGATTAACAGAAGAAATAAAGCCATAGTGTTTACCTAATCTCCCTCTCTTCAATAGTCCTCATTCTTGATAATATGTTGCAATTGTTTATTTTCTCCTGTGCCAACCATTTCCCCTAAGTGAAAAGGTAAATTGAATTTGATGCCAGAATGGTTTTTTTTTCTTTTCCCTAGATGTCAGAGGATAATGCAAAATACAATCTAGCTAGTTGGTAAACCTTGCATTCTGCAAGATTCAAACAAGCTCCACAGAAAATGATCCACTTTCCATGACAATAGGTCCGGCAAGCTTTTTTGGGACTCAAGATAGATGATCTTTTCCTGAGCTGGTCTCCATCCCACCCTAAGGATGGAAAAGGTGGGAAATTTAGCAAGCATTAATTGAGTTCATTTTATGTGCTGAGTTGCCTGGAACATACTCAGAGCTCAACAAATGTTAACTACTGCCACCACCACCATCACTACATGACAGACTGCAAAGAGCCTTCAGAAGTTGGTCTCTTATTGAGCATGCTCAGAAGAATGCAATGGAAGGCCAGTCATGGTTGTCTTCACACAGGTCTAAGAACCCTAAGCCCTGACATTGTCCAACTAAGCTAATAATCCAAAAGCTTAAGATTTGTATATGCAAGAGATTGCTATCAAAAGGCAGTTTTCTCATGCCAGAGGTTAAGGCAGCTGGATTCCAGATGGCTGACTGTGCGTGTGAGGTGGGTGTGAGTGCATGCCCAAAATCCCCAGAAAAGAATGAAGAAGAAGGGATTCAGCATGGCCATTCCCCCGGGAGGTGATTTCTCACTTTCCCTCCATCTCTGTCTCTGTCTGTCTCTCTCTGTGTCACTCTCTATTTCTTTCCAGTGAGGACACGTGCCCTATAGCAAAAACTAAAATAAATAATTTCTTTTTTTGGAGAGGTTTTCACAACAAGGCGTGTGCGCTTGCCAGACAGACAGAAAGAGACATAGAGACAGAAAGCGAGAAATCACCCCCCAGAGGGGATGGTCACACCGCAATCCATTCTCCTCTATTCTCCTCTTGGGATCTTGGGCACGCACGCACACGCGCCCGGCGTGAGTTTTTTAAGCCACCGGGTCTGGGATGCGAACCATGGTCGATTACGTGGGAATCCAGCGACATAGCCATTACACTAACTGCTGGTTCCCAATGATTTCTTAATAAAAAAGGCAATTCTCCCTGGAAACTCCTCTTACTCTGGAATAATCATAAGAAATGCTATAAAAAATCATAAAGGAAAGAATTAAACCATAGGAGATTGGGTTAATCAAGGAATTTTTTACAACAGATGTAAGATTTTGGTTAGACTTTGAATAAAATTCAAATGAAGTAGAAATTATTAGATGAAAGTGAGAAGGATATTAGAGGTAAGGAATATATGGGCTAGTTTACAAAGGTGAGAAATTGATTTGCCAGGAATGATCGTAGGGGAAGAGTCCAGTTCATGCAAAGTCTTGAGAGCTAAGTAGAGGAAATACCACCTTTAAAGTTGGGTCTTTTAAAATAACCATGTCCCAAAGTATTGGAGACATTTACCTTCCACAGAGGCTGCTGCAAATTTTTATTCCCAGATTACAAAATTGTCTTATTCTTAGGAAATTATCTTATCTCCTATTTTACTAAAAAAAAAAAAAATCTGCATTAGTTTCTTCCTGTCAAATTTTCTCTCCTTTTCACCCCGGATTCAGAGAAGTGTTTCTTCGTTCCCATTTCATTTTCAACATGTATTTCATCCTGAGATTCTCCCATAATTTTGCCAAAATGTCAAATTCCCTTTCTTCTTTTTTTTTAAATAGTTTATTTCTCCCAAGACACACACACACACACACACACACAGCCTAAACAGGGTCTTCACACCCCATCTAACCCCAGTCTCAGACACCCCAGATCACAAGCACATGAGTGACTACTAGGGAGGTCCAGGGATGTGAACCTAAGACCTTTCTATGTATATCTGGTTGCATTACTGTTGCATCCCTGCCTGGCCCCTTACTTTTCGTTTTCAGTGAGATGCTGAGCTCTGCAAAGTTGTAGCCTTATGCTTCCTACCTACTCTTTTTCCTTTTTTAAAAAATTTATTTATTTTTCATTTCATTTTCTTTTATACATTCAATCACATTATTATTTACTCTTTTTCTTTAATCACAGCCTCTGTTGCCTTCCAGTCTGGTTTTTACCCACCCTTCTATTGAGCCATGTCTCTGAGGCATGCTCTTATATCCAAATTGAATTTTTAAATTCAGTTTTAAAGGATTTCTCTGCGCCCTTTGACACTGCTGTTTTCTTTCCAAAATCCTCTTTCACAAATTCCCCTTCCTTAGTTATCGTTACCTCCTTTTTCTCCTTCTCACTTATAAATGCAGATGTATCCCAGGGGCTCCTCTTTTCTAAATTTTTCTTTTCCCACTAAATTTTTCTTTTCCCAACTTTAATAACTTTACCTACTCTCGTGTCTTTAACTATTCCTCCTCAAAAACCTGCCCCATACTACATCATTATCTCTGATCCCCCTCCTGAACTTGAGGCCCACAGTTTTTCTTGCACACTGGACATCTCGCAGGCACCTCACGGAGCATCCAAAGAGAAATTTCTCATTTTCTGTTCAGAAGCTTCTCCTTCAGCTGCCGACCTTACTTGAGTTCCCAGGGATGGCATTTTAAACTCACCTTTGCGCTCCTTCTCTCCGTCACTCTCCAACGTTCCATCAGTGGCCAAGTTGTTTTGTGATGTCTCCTGTATCTGCTGCTTCCCACTGCCATCAGATCAGCACAGGTGGTAGTTGTCTCTTGGATGGACAGACCATTGCGGTAGCCCTTTTATTGGTTTCTCTGCCACAATTCTTTTCCCACTTCAACCAGGACTACTACACATGTTGTGAAGGAAGTATTCTCCTATGCTCAATCTAAGCACTTCCATGGGCTAGCCCTGTAGTGTGGCTGTTAGCTGCATGCATGAGGAGTCAGATCCCACATGACTGACCACAATTCAAATCTCAACCCCAGTGGCTTGAAAAGCACATTATGCATGTGTATGTGAGTGTCAAAAATCCTGGGGGAATGAAGAAATGGAGGAAAGGACTGCAGTGTGACTATGACTCACTGAGAGGGTTCTCTCTTTCTCTGGCTCTCTCTGTCTCTGTCTCTCTCTGATGCATGTGCACTGTGACAATAGAAATAAATAAAACATAGAAAGTCTTTCATATCTACTAACTGCCTAGCCAAATAAACAGGCATTCAAAACCTTCCATAAACTGTATTATCCTATTTTCCAGCCTTCTGTCACCATTTCCGCAGGTTCATCTAGGCCAACTCAGGCTATGTGCTGTTCTCTAAATATGTCCCATCTTCTCTGCCTCTATGCTGTGCTTTTTAAACTATTATTATTAGGGGGACCAGCAGTTGGCGTAATGGCTATGTCGCTGGACTCGCATGTAGTTGACCATGGTTTGAGTCCCGGACTCCGTGGCTTAAACTCATGCAGGACACATGTGCGTGTGGGCCCAAGATCCTGAGAGGAGAATGGAGGAGAAGGAATTGCAGCATGGCCATCCCCCCTGGGCAGTGATTTCTCACTTTCTGTCTCTCTGTCTCTCTCTGTCTTTCTGGCCAGCACATGTGCCCTATAGCAAAAAAAAAACTCTGAAAAAAAAAAAGTAAAAAAAAAAATTATTAGGAGTTTATTTCAAAATATTAAAGAACTGTAAGAGAATAAATACCTATAGTTTCACCATTCTAGGGCAACTATTCTCATCTGTGCCTATTACTATCTGGTCCTTTCCTTGAGAATAAATGTTTACATAATGCAATCATAAAGTATTTATTAGTAATTATTCTCTTGGGTTGTCAGAAAAGTCCTGATGTGTTTTTGCATAGAAAAAAATATGTCATGATTTTTCTGACAACTCAATATATTTACCTAAGATTAGATTGTTAAAATTACCTGTTTCTTTGCAATATCAATGTAAAAGGCGACACTGCATTTGATGTATCATAATTTATTTAAAATTTTACTGACATTGGATATTTCAAACATTCACAAGGTCTTGCTGATATAGACAGTTATATCAGCAAGATATAACATAACTTCAAACTGAAATAATTTTTCTCCAGTTAGATTAACCATGGGAGTGGATTTACCTAGAAATTGTTTGTTAAAGCTTAGGACTCCTACTCCATTTGTTAAGTCTGCTTTCTATTAGAATGTCTTTCTTCTTAATATTCATTGGTAAATCTTATTTTCAAAGGTCCAAATGAGGGGCCAATAGGTGATGTGGTTGCTAAAGCACTGGGCTTCCACATGACTGACCATGTTTCAAGTCCCAGACATGGTGACTTGAAAATCACGTCAGGCATGTGCATGTGTATGCCCAAAATCCCAGAAAGAGAATGTAAAAGGGATCACAGCTTGGCCATCCCCCTAGAGGGTGAATTCTCACTTTTCCTCTCACTGTCTCTCTCTCTCTCTTTCTCTTTCTGATGAGCCCATGCTTCTTACAGGGAAAAAAAAAATACCTTTAAAAATAAGCAAATAAAATAAAAAAATAAATAAAGGCCCAAATAACCGTGAACTTCTTTCTTGACAATTTTCATGCCACCACGTCCCAAAGGAGGTGATTCTCCTCTCATCTGAGCTCCCACAGCTCGGTGTTCTCTGCAAGGCATCTGATGATGTTCTCTGCAAGGCATCTAGTGCACTCTGATCACCTGAAACAATGTTATGTGTATACACGTCTGTATGCAACTAGACTGTAGGCTACTTAAGAGCCATGTCTTATTCTCCTTTGTAACTTCACCTGGATATTTTCTGTTATTTCAAACTGTCTTATGTACGTTGGTTATACTGTATCCAGATTTCCTTTGCGTTTCCCTTGGGGGTTGGTGTCAGTGATGAGAGAAACTTGACATTATCAGCTCAATATGAACCTTGATAGAAATTTGCTGGGGTCCAGCCTCGGCGGGGGTGGGTGGTTGAGACTCATACACAGGAAGGCAACACAGGTGATCAGGAACAGAAATTAGACTGAGACCTCATTGCTCCTTAGCATGTTCTCAGCCAGCCACAGCCAGAGCCAGCTCCAGACTGCAGCGCTAGTGGCTATCAAACACACGTATTTATTGAGGGATGTTTTACAGGAGTAGGAGGGGTGAAGGGAAATAAAAGATTTACTCTATGAAACAAGGAATTCAAAGCACAGGAACAGTGATCATAAAACATGATGTCTGTCTTGTTTGAACAGGTGAAGCCAAACACAGTTCTCAGAATGAAGGAGTCTTATTTGTCTGGTACATTTTCTTCTTCAGTCTTGATTACCAGATGGGGTCTTTTGAAGAGGGGGCTTGCAGGGAGTTTGATAACTTCAGTCCCAGGTCAGCTTGATAACTTCAGTCCCGGGCTAGGGTGGCAACATTGCTGGTTACAAAGGCCTAGATAGAAATCTTGTCTTGTTAAGTAAAGACACAGTTAATATATGGACTATCTATATTACAACTAAAGAGGGTGAGCCTATTACCCATATGGGAAAGGAAGATGATCTTGTAGCTCAGGAGACAACACGGGATGTTTTATTAGCAGTTTTTCATAGTCAACAGCACATAGATGAGAAACTCTTTGTAGTTGAAAACTACCCGTTGCTTTAGATAAGAGCTCCCAGCTAAGATAGTTCATCTTTCTCCGGAGCCTTTAGGTTTGTTCATCCTGTCATCGCCAGCCAGGCTTGTTTCCTTTCTTTATAAACCCGTGGGTTTCTGTATTTTATTTGCTGAGTCTGTCAATTAGTGAGTTCTTTTGTTTTATCTCTGAGTCCCTGTTATGTAGTGAATAAGCTGACTTTGGCCTAGCATGAGTTAACTTTGGCCTGTAGCTTTAACAAGGGGTATTTACATAAAACTAGCCTTAAACTGTTACTTATGCTAATTTGGCTTATACTCATTTAACCTTAACATATGTTAATTTTGGCTTAAAACATACGGGTGGGGGCGTCTCAAACTTTCTGGCCCTAGTGTCTTAGGAAACCACATTCCTACAATATCACTAATTGGCTTTATTGTAATGGTTGGGGGTGATATTTTACCCTTGCAGGTATCGTAATAACAGTAAAGCTCACGGCAGAGAAATTGAGTACAGGCCAATACAGCAACACAAGGGGGGCTCGTAAACTGGGCCTTGCCTCGCAGTTTCTTCCCAGTCCAGGCCTTGCCTTAGACATGGGAGGCAGCCTCTTTACCAGTTTGTGTTGTCTGCATGGCACTGTCAGAAATTCTTAGGTATTTTGTTTCTTCTGCCCTTTAAAAAAAGAAGAAAATATGGGGACCAGCAGATGGCATGTTTATGTCACTGGACCCCAACATGGCCAACTGCAGTTCAAGTCCTAGACCCGGAGGCTTGAAATTTACACTGGGCGTGTGAGCATACATGCTCAAAATCCTGAGAGGAGAGTGGAGGAGAAGGGATTGTGACATGGCCATCCCCTCTGGGGGTGATTTCTCGGTTTCTGTCTCTCTCTTTTCCACAGTAAATGAATGCACCCTATGACAAAAAAAGAAAAAGAAAAAGAGAGAGAGAGAGAGAGAGAGAAGAAAATATTATTGCTTATGTTTCATCATCTCAAATCTACCATGCAGTACTACATTTCACCCAAAGGCAGTAAGCAATTGTGGGAGATTTGGAAAACTGGTTTCATAAACCAGATATAGAGGAGACCCAAGAGAAGGTTTGGGTCCTAACTCTACTGCTATCTCAATGGGTCATTTTAAAGATGTAACCATTCTGAACCCATTCCCCCCAAATAAAAGGTTAATTATTACATTCTACATTTTGGTTAATTTGAGGTTAATTTTTGCTTTATAATTTCTGTTTCATAAAAATATAAGGAATGCTCTTAGCTCAGATCTAAGCTAACTCAATCTTCTCACAGGCAGGAAATTAAACCCTCCACTCCTCACTAATGTGTTGCTGATCCTGGTCTTAAACAGGCAACAACTTTATGTGGTCTTTCCACATTCTGAGTACAGCAACGGCAACACACACAAACAAAATGCATCATACAATTTTAGCTGGCCACTGTGAAGTTGCACGTCAATCCAATAAGAGATAAATAAAAACCAATTTCAGAACCAAGAAGAAAATTTATTCTTCAATGTATCTCTATGACCAGTCTTCTTGGCTACAATGTTAGGACAGCATTTTTTCCCCTTCAATTCAGCTTTCTTCATCTCTAGAGTATGTTTTAGTTCTTCCATAGTTAAGCCAGTTTCCGTTAATCTTTTTATAAAGTCCTGTATGGCTTTGCAAAGGTCTTTATTCTCTTGAAAAGCAAGCTGAACAAAGAAAAAAAATGGAAAGTTACAGCATAAGGACCAAGACCCAACCATATACTCTGAAGCCAGTGAACAATAGTGAGGTCCCTGAATGCAGGTTCAGTACCAGGCTAGCTTCATTCAGTAGCTCTCTAGATCTTCAACAAGGTAGATCATTTCCATTTTCCTACTTAGATGTAATTATTGATATTCTCTAATAAGAAGTATGGTCTAAAAGAATAGTCAATGAGAGTGGATTTGGCCCATGTTTTTGGAGTCTGGAAGAATTTTAAAGACTTTTCACAGGCATACTCATGACCAGAAGAGCACTGCCCACTCCTCATCAATGCACTCCCGGTCCTGATTCTGAATCTTAGGCACCGAGTTTATGCACTTTGTTCTTTTTTTTTTGGAGAGGTTTTTTGCTATAGGGCGCGTGTGCTCGCCAGACAGAGAGAGACAGACAGAGAGACAGAAAGCAAGAAATCACCCCCCAGGGGGGATGGCCACACCACAATCCCTTCTTCTCCATTCTCCTCTCTGGATCTTGGGCACGCACACACACGCACCCGGCCTGAGTTTAAGCCACTGGGTCCAGGACGCGAACCATGGTCGACTATGTGGGAGTCCAGCGACATAGCCATTACGCTAACTGCTGGTCCCTGCACTTTGTTCTATGAGACAAACGAGACAGCACCAGAGCCTTCCAAGGCATTCGTAGTGATGGAGGAAAGTGGGAACCTCCATAAATAAAAACGTGAGTTAACAGATTCTGTGCCTCCTTCTACAATCAGGCCAAGACCGAAAACATTAGATATTTACTGAGCATGCGCCAGAAGCAGTGTCAAGCCTCGAGATACCATTGTGCAGACAGACATGAGCCCCTACTTACTAGTGCTTTCCCATACTTGGTCGGTGCAGTTGGTTTGGGAGCTTCCTGGATCAGCTCACAGGACGGAAGGTCACTGTTCCACTCCCCATCAATGCACTGTTGGTCCGGTGTGCCCATCAAGCGGTATCTGGAAAAAGATTAGAGCAAGATGCTTGTCATTCTCTCTCTCTCTCCCCTTCACCCCCTTCCTGTGCATCTGTCCCACTCATAAAAATAAATAACATTTTAAAAAGGCCGGCCCTATGGTCAGCCTATGGTTTGTGGTTAAGGTGGCTGGATTCTACATGGCTGACTACATGGACCAAGTCCCAGATCTCGTGACTTGAAAAGCATGTCAGGCAGGTGAGCATGCATGTCCCAAATCCCACAACAAGGAGAGATGGAGAAGGGACTGTGGCATAACCACTCTCCATCAAAGGTACTGGGAACCAGCAGTTAGCGTAACGGCTATGTCACTGGACTCCCACGTAGTCGATTGTGGTTCGCGTCCCGGACCCTGTGGCTTAAAACTCACGCCGGGCACATGTGCATGCGTGCCCAAGATCCCGAGAGGAGAACAGAGGAGAAGGGATTGCGGCATGGCCATCCCCCCTGGGGGGGTGATTTCTCGCTTTCTGTCTCTATGTCTCTCTCTGTCTGTCTGGCGAGCGCACGCGCCCTATTGCAAAAACCTCTCAAAAAAAAAAAAAAAAGGTACTTTCTCTGTCTTTCTCCCATGAGCACACATGCCCTTTGGCTAAATTTGGGTGGGGGGGAAGGGTTGGCCCCATGGTCTAGTGGTCAACAGAACCAGATCTCACATGAATGACAGTCTCATTTGGATCCTGGCCCCAGTGGCTTCAAAAACACAGTAGGCATATGTGCATGGGAGCCCACATGGCTGATAGAATATAAATACTGACAGAATAAAGAAATGCAGGAGAGGGGATTGTAGCATTACCACCCTGTTGTCTTACTGCCTCTGCCTCTCTGTTTCTCTCTCTGGAGAGTTCATGTAAGCACACGTGTCTTTTGCAAAAATGGATTAAAGAAAAAGAACAATATATAGCTCTTTTCTCTTCCTAACTGAGTAACTGGGGCTAGTTTTGTGTAGCTGTAGTTCACTGTGCTAGAATCTGCTTCCCCTGAGGATAGAAGCATGTCTACATTATCCCTATACAACAAAACAGTTATAAAGTCAATCCACTCCCCTGGGGAATGGAAGAACCTAAATCGTAGTCAATCCATAAAGTACAGAGAAGTGAGAAATTCCAAGTTGGTGTTTTATTTGACCAAAGAGGGAGAGAGAGAAAAAAAAAAATGAGAAAGCAAGCTGCCAGGTCCGGGACTTGAATCACAGTCGGCTATGTGGGAGTCCAGTGCCCTTAACCACCACACCACCTGCTGGCCCCCCAAGTCGGTGTTTTAATACATGCAGTTTTTAAGTGTGGAAGTTGAAGGAAGACTTGCTTGATCTTTTATTGGGTCATTGGAAAAGTCACGACATAGTGTTCTGTTTTTCAGTGTGAAAGTGCATCATGACTTTTCTCACAACCCAATATAACCTAAGAAGCTATGTGCCATTTAAGCTCTAAAAAGGAGTGGGAAGTTAGAGGCACTCCTCAAATATGTCTTAGTAAGTAGGCTGTGGAAGAGCAATAGCTTGTAATCAGAAGAACATGAGAGCTGACTGCAAAGCCAGTTGGAAGTTTATAATGAAATGCAATGCTGGTGACATCCGCAACTGAGTTAAGATTGTGGCCAGGGAAATAAAAACCTAGGATATCCATAAGGTGTGTGACCAGGAAGCCTAACATAAGTTTAAACTTTGATTAGGATGTTTTGAGTAATATATACATTTTATATTTCAGCACTTCTGGGGTTATTTATAGATTTGTTTTGTTCTGTGCTTTTTTGGAAAAATATAAGTTTTTTGTTTTTGTTTTTGTTTTACAAATTAATCTTTATTTGTATTACATACATATTTTACAGAAGAAAAGAATACCTTAATGTTAAAATGCAATTAATCATAAAAGTGTCTTGCTATGATTCTTTTCGATGTAGAGATGTAAATTTTTATACAAATATAATCAGTAAAAATAATTTGTGTTCTAGGTGACATTTTTAGTTTCAAACATCCTTCATGCAATTTTACATAGATTAATATTATTTTATGGTTATATAATAGTTTATGATAGCAATAATAATACATCAAAATTTGCTTATCTGTTTCCCAACTATTGGGCTTTTTCTTTTTTTTTGTAAAACTTGTAAGAATAAAATTGCTACAAACGTCTTTACATAAGTAGTTTTTTTCTTTTAAATATTTTTCTGTGCATATGCAACTCAAAGTGAGTTAGCATGGCAAAAAATAGAATGGTTATGAAAAATATAGTTTTTGTTTGTTTGTTAGGGAGAAGATTTTTGCTATAGAGTCCATTTGCTCTCCAAAGAGACAGAGAGACAGAAAGTAAGAAATCATCCCCCAGAGGGAATGGTCATCCCACAATCCCCTTCTCCTCCATTCTTCTCTTGAGATTTTGGGCACACACACATATGTACCTGGCATGAGTTCTAAACTGTGGGATCCAGGTCTTGAACCACAGTCAACCAACTATATGGGAGTCCAGCAATGTAACCATTATGCCATCTGCTGGTCCAAAAATATATACTTTTTTTAAGACAGGGTTTCACTATGTCACTATCTTTCCGCCTCAGTCTCCAGAGTAGCTGGGATCATAGGCCTATGTTACCTCACCAGCTTTTAGGGTAAGCCAGAAATTGAACTCTGGCCTCCCTTAACATGCTGAGTACCTTGACCAGCATGTGCTTCCACAGCTGGGCCTAAAAACATACACTTTTATGCTTTATCTTGTCTTAACTGAGAGAAAAGTAAAGTGCCACTTTATAGAATCAGTTTGTCTTCTAGAAATTGGGGGGAGAGGGCAATGAGCTAAAGCAGCTCTCAAAATAAGAATGAGTTCAGAATCCTGAAGCAGTGGGGAATAAGGGGACTGGTGGGTGCAGACGGTGACGTTTGCCAAAATAGTGCTGCCACAGAGCAGGAGTTGGATTGAAAGGCTATGGGCACTTACCCCTCTTCACAGTAGTAAGTAATGTTAGATCCTGAGGTGAAATTTCTCCCCTTAAAATAACCATGAGCTGGATTCTCAGGAGGGTCACAGTCTCCTGAGAAAAAAAACGGAGTATGAGTACAGGTGTGAAAGTCAGTTATCATCAAGAAACAGCACCCCCTAAGGGGCTACACCAGCACTTGTTTTCTTAAGCGGCAACCTGGGGTCTGGGAATGTTTGTCCTTCATTCATTCTTTCTTATCGCGATATTTCTCCTTGGGAATGACCCCTCTCCTGGCTCATTCAGGGCCTTCTAAGGCATTCATAATGATGGTGGTAAATGGGAACTTCCATGTGTGAAAATGTGAGTTAACAGATTATGAACCTCCTTCTGCAATTAGGCCAGAATCGAAAGTATTATTTATTGAATTTATTTTCTGTAATTAAGGCCAAAAACATGTACTGGATTTATTTCTAGAAAAATATACTTTCTTTTTTTTTTAACTAAGGATCAAAGAAAGGAAGCCTAGGTTGTAGAGGTGCTAAGTGTTATGTACAGAACGTAGATGAAAGTCAGCTCCAAGACAGGAGGGGAAAGGTGTGACCGCATGTGGAGGTTGGCAACGCCAGTGGGACTGAGTTAATTTGAGAGCTTCATAAAAAAAAAGGGGGAGAACAAAGTTGGGAGGGAAGAGCACGAGGCTACAGGACTGTGGAAAGAGAGTTGGACAAAGTACTAGGAGTTATGAGTTTTGATTCTGACTCTTAACATGAACTACCTGGAACTGAAGCCCCTCTTGGCCCACTTTCCATTATTATAAGACGTGCAGGTTAAATGATATCTCCAAGGCCTCTTTCAGCTCTGAGCGTGTCTGAGACTAAACATATTGATCAAGATGAATACCCCTAACAGGGTCTTCTTGCCACAATCTACCCCCAGCCTTAGCTAGCCTTTGCTAGCCTTCACCATAGGCATGCACTTCTGGCATCCTCTGGGAAGTTCTGGGATGCAAACCTAGGTCCTTACCCCATGTGAGTTACCTCTGCACCACCACCTGTCCCTATAATTTATTTATTTATTTATTTTTGGAGAGGTTTTTTGCTATAGGGCACATGCTCTTGCCAGAAAGACAGAGACAGAGAGACAGAAAGTGAGAAATCATCCCCCAGGAGAAATGACCACACCGCAATCCCTGCTCCTCCATTCTCCTCTCGGGATCTTGGGCACACATACACACTAGCCCGGTGTGAATTTAAGCAACAGGGTCTGGGACTCGAACCGCGGTTGACTACGTGGGAGTTCAATGACATAGCCATTGTGGTAACTGCTGGTCCCCCTATAATTTATTATTTTGAACTGCCTATCCACTTATTATTTTAACTACTGCCAAAATACATACAAAGAGTGATATCCCCTTATCTTCTCACTACATATATAGCTATATCTTCATAACTTGAATGATATTAGATGAAACCAGTCTTCATCTGTTACTAATCTATTTGATAAAAAAAAATAGTATCTATTTTTATCTTTCAGTTCTATAATTACTGATAATGCTCAATATACTTTTTATTATTATTATTATTTGGGAAATTAATGTGCTGTTTGAGGGCTAACCTGTGGCCTGATGGCTAAGGCAGCTGGATCCCACATGGCTGACCATGCAGTTCAAGTCTCAGACCAAGTGGCTTATGAAATACAGCAGATGTGTGTGCATGTGTGCCTGAAAGGGGAAGAAAGTTCCAAAGAAATGGAGGATACGCTGACCCAGTGATTATTCTAAGAATCAGTACAATAGCAACAATATGGAAATGACTGTCAATATAAGAGCTGTATAATAAATTGTGGCCCACCAACATCAATTATTGAAAAGTTAGAGCTAAATGTCTTGGAAAAAAAAACCTATGTTTATTGTCAAATGAAAAAACTAGCAATTCAGAAAATATGTATAGAAAGGTACCATTAAACATAAAGTTTATTTAATGTTTATTTAATTTAAACATTACTTGCATGTATTTGTTTCAAAGGTCTGCATAAACATAAGGGAAAAAAATCATAAAATAAACCCATCCAACTGATTACTTCTAAGGAGTCTAAGCTGTAATGATTGAGCTTTCACCTTTTGTTGTATATAATTTTCAGTAAGTGAGATAAATCTTTCTTTCCTAGGTATTTTTTCTTTCTTCTTTTTTTTTTTGGTGTGTGTGTATTGCTCAAACAGAAACTTCAAATCACTATTTTGAAATTCAAAAATGAAGTAAAATGGATAATGCTCAAAACTACACCCTACATTGGATCTAGTAGGACAGGAATTCTCCTTGAGAAAAGGTATTGTTTGGATGCTGTTCATTTCCTTGGAATGTATCGCTTGAGCTGAGGTTTGGTACTGTGAGTTCTACATGTTTCTTGGCTATTTGATCCCAAATCTTTCCAAGAGAAAAAGGAAGAAATGTTGCAGAGATGTGGCAACTGTCCAGGGTGACACCACTAATCAGTACCTTTGGGATTCCAGGGTGTTTTTCTTATACTCACTACTCTTGCAGATGGGAAAGGGAGGTGCCCAGGTGTGGTTTTCTAGGCACTGGCTCCAACTGCTGCCCTTGAGGATGTAGTAATCATTGCACATAAATGTCACTTTGTCGCTTACTTTCACAGGCCAAGAATAATTGAACTTGCCATTCGACAGCACAGGATTAGGACAGTGGCCCACTGAAATAAAGAGACAGTGATCTGAAAGGGGAAGTTAAAGTCACCACAGCAAAAGTGCTTCAGGCTTCAGTGAAAAAATAACATAGTAGAGCTTCAAGTGCATATTTAATAGGGATAGGTACTTGACTTCCAGCCATAATGCAGGATGAGAACAGAGTATATTGTCGTAAGTATGGTGGAAAAAGTCTTAGTCATTCGTAAGAATCATATTAGCAATTGAGTTTACTAAAAGTAACTGAGCACATAGCTACAAATTACCGATAACATGTTCATTGTCCTGTTATGTCTAGGATGGTTGGAAATTCCCGAGCCTATGCTTGAGACAAATCTTCCCTTCCCTGTCATCCAGCCAAATATACACTTAAAATTTTTATTTATTTTTATTTTTTTTTTCTCCTGATGTGGAAAAACAGGAGAGAATGCAGAAGAGTGTCAACTTGGTTGTAAGCATGAAGGATAATCGTGTGGGTGTGCTTTAGTCTAGGTATAATGTTTGATTATCTCTAAGCATAAAGGAGAGGTAATGCAGTTATTCTTTAAAACTAGTAATAATAGGGCCAGCAGGTGGCATAACGGTTACATCCCTGGACTCCCACATGGCCAGCCATGATTTGAATCCTGGACCCGGTGGTATGAAACTCACACTAGACACATGTGCATGCATGCCCAAGACCCCAAGAGAATAGAGGAGAAGGGAATTCAGTGTGGTCATCCCCACTGGGGGATGATTTCTCTCTTTCTCAGTGTCTCTCTATCTCTCTCCAGCGAGTGCACACTCTTTAAGGCAAAAAAAAAAAAAAACAAACGAACGAACAAAAACCTCAAAAAAAAGTAATAATAAAGAGAATATGGATTAACTATTCTCCATCTCTACAAAAGATCACAAAAATGAGCTTCTTGATTTTGAATAAGTCACCTAGATCTCAATTATCAAATTTGCAAATAGAGAATAGAACATTTTCCCTGTTCAAAAGTTATATAATGGGTGAGATAAAATAACAAAATGTATGTACTTCAAAATAATAAAGTATGTAGATGAAATAAGATTAGTCATGTACTGATAACTGATAAATCTGTGATGGCCTGTATGAATTAATTTGACCCTTTTTTTCAAATTTATTTATATTTAAGTTGACATAAAATTTATGTATTTATCATGTACATATTTTGAAGTATATATACATTATAGAATAGTTTAATCTATTTAATTAATAAATTTATTACCTCATGTAGTTATTTTTCTAGTGTGAACACTTAATATCCACTTTCCTAGCATTTTTTAAAAAAACAATATTTCAGGGACCAGCAGTTAGCGTAATGGCAATGTCACTAGACTCCCACGTAGTAGACCGCGGTTCGCATCCCAGACCCAGTGGCTTAAAACTCACACCGGGCACGTGTGCGTGCGTGCCCAGGATCCTGAGAGGAGAATGGAGGAGAAGGGATTGCGGCATGACCATCCCCCCTCGGGGGTGATTTCTTGCTTTCTATCTCTCTGTCTCTCTCTGGCTGGCTGGCGAGCGCATGCGCCCTATAGCAAAAATAACTCTCAAAAAAAAACCAAAACAAACAAACAAAAAAAAACATTTCACTGTTAATTATAGTCACCATGCTATATGACAGAGCTTTTGAATTTATTTATTCTTGTCTGATTGCAATTTATATCCACTGGTTAGCATTTCCTCAACCTCTCCACCCCTTCTTATCATCCCAACCTCTGGTAACTACCATTTTACTCTTAATTCTATCAGATCAATTTTTTTAGATTCTACATATTTATCTTTCTGTGCTTAGCTTATTTCACTTAACATAATGTCTTCCTGGTTCATCCATGTCATTCCAAGTGATAGAATTTCCTTCTTTTTATGGCTGAATAGTACTCCATTGTGTATATATGAAAGGATTTCCAAAAGTCATTGAAATTAAACTATGAGTTTGGGCCATCCCCATGGCATGATGATTAAGGTGGCTAGATCCCATATAGCCGAATTCACAGCTGGAGTCCCAGACCCACTGGATTGAAAATCATGCCAGGTACATGTTCATGCTTGCCTATGGTCCTGAAGGGAGGAAGAAATGGAGGAAAAAGGATTGCGGCATGGCTATTCCCCACGGGAGGTGCTTCCTCACATTCCCTCTCTTGTTCTCTCTTGCTCTCTGTGGCAACCACACACACCCTCTGGAAAAATTAAAAGAAAAAATAAAAAAAGATGTATGAATTTATTATGCTGTTAAAAAAGAAAATTAAAAAAGTTTCTTCATAATATGCATTTCTATGAACTTTTTGAAGATTTTTCATATGCCATGTTTTCTTCATGCATTCATTCACTGACAGACTTAGACTGATATAGTGACAATTGTGAACAGTGCTACAATAAGTATGGGAGTACAGTTATCTCTTCAACATACTGATTTCGTTTCCTTTGGATATCCACTTAATAGTAGGATTGCTAAATCATACAGTAGTTCTATTTTTAATTTTTTTTGAGCAATCTCCATAGTATTTTACAAAACAGTTATACTCACTTACTTTCCCACCAGTGATGAATACGGGTTTCTTTTTCTCCGTGTCCTCACTGAAAGCTAGCTTTTCTTTTTCATAATAGCCATTCTAACAGGAATGAGGTGATATTTTATTATATTTTAAATTTTCATCTCTCTGGATAATTAGTGATGCTGAACATGTTTTTATATACCTGTAGACTACTCATATGCATTTTGTTTAAATGTCTTTTGCCCATTTTAAAAATCAGGTTGCTTTCTTGCTATTAGGTTGTTTGTCTACTAATACATTTTGGTTATTAACCCCTTATCATATGGATAGCTGCAAGTATTTTCTTCCATTCTGTAGGTTATCTCTTTACTTTGTTGATTATTTTCATTGCTATGCAGAAATTTCATAGTTTGACATTATTCTATTTGTCTATACTCTGCGACAGAGAGAGAGGGATAAGTATCTGAAATTCAGTACTTTCAAATATATACATATATATATATATATAGAGAGAGAGAGAGAGAGAGAGAGAGAGGCATATATTATTACTACAAACTTTCCTTTAGATCTTCTTTTGCTGTAACCCATAGGTTTTGGCACATTGCTCTAATATTGGATGCATATTTGTTGGTACATCCTCTTGCTGAACTAACTCTATTACGATTTTATTATGCCTTTTTTAAACAGCATTTATTTATTTATAGAGAGATTTTTGCTAGGGTGTGTGCACTCACCAGAGACAGAAACAGAGAGACAGAAAGCAAGAAATCATTTCCCGGGGATGTGGCCATGCCACAATCCCTTCTCCTCCATTCTCCTCTCAGGATTTTGGACATGCATTTATATGCACCCAGCCTGAGTTTTAAGCCTCCGAGTCCATGACTAGAATTGTAGTTGACTACATAGGAGTCCAGCAACATAACTGCTACACCATCTGCTGGTCCCAATAGTTTTTATTTAATCTATACCTCCTCTGATATGAATATAGTTATTCCTTGTCTTTTGATCTCTGGTTTCATAGAATATATTTTCTATTCCTTTACTTTCAGCCTATTTGTATCTGTACAGGTAAAGTGAGTCTCTTGTAGAGAAAATGAAGTGAGTCTTATTTTATTACGCATTCAACCACTGTTAAGATTTTTTTTTTTGGAGAAGTTTTTGCTATAGGGCGTGTGCGCTGGTCATAAACACAGAGAGAGACAGAGAGATAGAAAGTGAGAAATAATCCCTCTAGGGGGAGATGGTCACGCCTCAATCCCTTCTCCTCCATTCTCCTCTTGGGATCTTGGGCATGCACGCACACGCACCCAGCGTGAGTTTAAGCCACCAGGTCCGGCACTTGAACCATGGTCAACTACATGGGAGTCCAGCGACATAGCCATTACACTAACTGCTGGTCCTACTATAAGATTTTTTAATTGGAGAATTTAATTGATTTGCATTCAAAGTAATTATTGATAGGTAAGAACTTACTACTGCTATTAGGTTCATTGCTTTCTAGTTCTTTTGTAGATATCTTTTTACTCTTACTGTCTTCCTTTGTAGTTAAGTGATTTTCTCTAGCAGTATATATATATATATATTTTTTTTTTTTGGAGAAGTTTTTTTTTTTCACTATAGGGCACTTTATTTATCTCTACCTCTTTAGGGTAGTCACTAGCATGGTGTTTTTGTCCAGTTGATGATATCATATTTCCCTTATTTTTTTAATTTTTTTTTTTAGGTTTTTGCCAAAAGGCATGTGTACTCACTGGAGAGAGATAGAGGGAAAGTGAGAAATTACCCACCAGGGAGGATGGACATGTTGCAATCCCTTCCCCTTCATCCCTTTCTTGGGATTTTGGGCATGCATGCACACACACAGTGATTTTCAAGCCTCTAAGTCCTTGAACTGTGTCAGACATGTGGGAGTCCAACACCTTAACAGCCATGCCTCCTGCTGGCCCCTTCCCGATTGTTCTTAATCCTTGTGGTGATGTGTTGAATGGGATTTATTCCAGTCTTTTCAGTCTGTTTTTTTCTGGGAATGCTCTTCAACAGTAAGCCTCCTCAGAAATGTTGAACAAACTGCTGTGGTCCCAAAGCCTATAACCACTGTTGCCATTGCAGTGCTAGAAGACACTGTACACCCAGGACACTACAGCGTCCACTGTCCAGACTGGAATCTCTTGGCTTCCATGGCTAGCACAATGGTTGGCTGAAATCCACTTGGAGAAAACTCAAGATGAATACTTGAGCTGTGTGGGGAAGCTGACCAGGGATCCCAGCCTGGAAGACCAGTGGGCTATATTTCCAGCAGCATGATGCTGTTGGCTAGTGTCTATGATGTGGCACCTTCATTGGACAGAATTTCCACTTGTTTCTGAGCCTCACCTGCATTCTTTGTTTCTAGCTGATACCATATGGTCTATCCCTGACAGTATTTCCGAAGTTTCCCATAGGACAAAACAGAAGAGAAAAGTGCCAAGAGTCCTAAAATAGTGGGGAAGTTGAATGTCCACCTCCAGTTCACTTTTCTCATTGTAGAAGCCGTGGATCTAGGGGGATCTTCTGTGTATGATGCTGTCCCAACTTGAAAGAGAGTGACATGGTCAAAGAGAATCATTCATGTTGCCATTTGGTTGTGGCTTTTCTTGGTTTTGCAACCCAAAGGGATATCTCAGCCCACACTCCTGAGTTCTGGGGTATTTAGGGTGGTACTACTGATGTGAATATTGGGTTTCTGTGGTGGTGGGGAAGCGAAGCCAGACAACTCCTGTTTTGCCATCTTGCTGACATCATTCTTCTGTCTTTTGTATATATTTAAGATTTCTAATAATATAATAAAATTAAAGTAGCATACGATTAAACAAATTACAGCAAAAAAATAGTAGTTTTAATATATAGAAATTTTTCATCCTCTAGTAGGAGTAAGTGATGCTACTATTGGGTCATCAGAAAGATCATAACACATTTTTTGCATAAAAAAAAAAAAACAGAAAAAATGCATTGCTATTTTTCTAACAACCCAATAATTTAACTAAATTAATACTGATCAAGAGGTGATCAGGTACATTCAAAGAGAGTTCCATCATTAGAGTGCTTTAAAAGTAGATTCTTAGAAATTGAGAACTTTTTCTTATGACATTTTAATACAGTCTACTGGAAGTAGGATATGGAAAGATACAGCAAGATGACAAGATGGGTAACGAAGCAGAAAGATCTAACTTACAGTGGCATGTAGCAGTAGGGACAGTCCATTCATCAAAGGCATTGCAAAAGAGGGTTCCCTTTCCTACCAAGTGGTAGCCTTTTATACAAGAATAAATTCCTGAAATCTGTCCTTCTTCCTTCATTGCAATAAAAATACTGTTGTCCACTTGGGGAGGTTTTGAACATCTCTCTTGGAAGAAAAAAACAAATACAAAAACCAGATTCATTTGGCATATACTCTGCTGTGAGGAAGCCCTTATTGCAATAGATCCCCCATGTTCAAGTGTCTTTTTGTTGGGTTATTGATCCTGATTCTCTGTACTCTTCCTTGTCTTTGTGCATTCACATCTCTTCCTTCACAAAGATTTCCAGAATTTTATATCCGAAAGGATAATGAGAATTTCCCTTACATTGAGCCACAAAATAGCCACTTTAAACAAACAATCTCCTTCCCAGAAGGCAGTCCTGGAGTTTATAATAGGTAAGACCTCTCAGGATTTTGAAATTGGTATTTTTTTATTGTTGTTCCCAGACAGGAAAGGCAAAGTAAACAGTAACTACAGACTTCAGAAAGCAGGATCATCTTAAATATATACTAAAACCCCACAGAGCATTAAGCCAAGTAATTTAAAATTTTTCAATAAAATAAATACATGCCGTACATTTAAAGTTTAATTCAAACCCTAGACAGAATGCCTCCTACCCTCCAAACTGGTCTCATTGCCTTATAAACTGAGTTTAAGGAAGGTCTACTCACCGTCTGACGCGGAAATCAGCCGAGCAACCACAAGACAGCATACAAACCAAAGAAACATCTGGTGATCAATTAGTTGACCCAGCTGGAATTAAGCCAGCCCAGACACTTGACCTAGATCAAAACAGATCTTTTAGTACTGCTGGAGATCGGACCAGCCACCTCCCTTCTTGAAAAGGAGTTATATTGATTTCCCTTCCCTGAAGGTAAAGAAAAAGAAAAACAAAAATCCTACAGCAGGAAATAAGAACAGTAAGGAAGTTGGTATGGGGGAAAAGGACTTTACACAACCCAAAGGGATGGTAAAAGAACGGCCTGCTTTAAAACACGGTTTCTGAGATTCCCCAGCTCCTGGGAATGCAAATCCAGTGGGCCAGTCCCTTTGAGCTTCAAGTTATTTTTCCACAACAGACTTGAGTCAAATGGCCTTGCCCTGACCCTGGTTTCTGTCAATATTTGCCAGTCCACCTTCTGCAATTTGTCCAGCATTCAGGGTAGAGAACAGGGTGCAAATTCTAGTGCTTTCCTGGGTAAGCCCTTCCTCCGTTACCCCCTCTCCTTTCCCCAATACCAGATATCCAAAAGTTGTAAGCAGCACTAAAGGCTGAAAGCTCAATGAAATAAACGAACCCTACCTGTCTCTGTCCCTTCAGATCTATGGTTTCCCAGCAAGGAGCTGGTTCTGACTGATTCCAAATCTGCGAGCTCCAAAGTCCTGCAGTGACATATTGTTCTCGTTTGCCAGGCCTGTGCAAAGGATTCTCACCCTGTGGCCCTTGCTGAGGCAAGATTTGGTCATAGTCCAGTTAATCAAACAAATGAAAAGAGAGGTGAGGGGAATGCTTTGGGCTCAAGAATAAACACATGCACAATGGCTCTGGGGCTCCCTATCATCTTGATCAAGACTATGACAGCACTTAGTTGGTCCTCTGTGCTCTCACTACTAAACTGGGTTGACGTTCCTACAATATTTTAGGTTTTAATAAAATAATAAAGCATCTAAAGACACAGGAAAATCTGAAATATTATTCTTGTCTCCACCCATTCTTATCACCTTGTCATTTATGTCTTTTTCCTGTCCGCATGTGATCAGAATGTGACCTTCAAAATAAGCTACTTTAGTATAAACATTATTTAAAGTTGAAGACATTTGAGAACCAACAGATGGGGAGGGGGTGATAAACTGTCTTGGAGCTTCCCTTATCTGATGAAAAGCAGCAACTTCTGGGAAATAGGGCTCCATAAGTTCCTCTCCAGGGTAGATCAACTCCCCACAAAGGGGAACAAGAATGACACCTCGCCCAAATTTGTTCCCTGGGAGAGTTTTATGACCTTGAAGGACACACCTATATAAGCAAACATCATTAGAACTTTCTTATCTCCTGTTTTTCTGAAAACCCATTTATCTTCCCAAAATGTCATCTCTTTTCCTGTAAGTCCCTTTTCACCTTCCTTTTCACCTGTGAAGATGGTGTGTATAAACCCCAAATTCCAACCACCCCTCAGAGTTACTTGCCTATGAACTATTCCACGTATATGCATGGTAGGCAGGTAAATAAACCGGGTTTGTTTTTTTCCTGTTAATCTGTCTTGTGTTAGTTGAAACTACAGGTCCATAATTGCAACACACAACACATAAATACTAGCTGTTTCATTAAACCAACCATAGTAAGATAAACATGATGTTGCTTGATTAACGAAAACCTAGACAAAATATATGTTGGAAATTGCAAAGACTTTTACTTATTAATCTATTTCTTTCATTACATTTGAAGCCATCTCTTTCACTAAAGTTATATGATCTTGAAAAGCATTTAAACTAATTTGTATGAGTGCTCTTTTTTAAATCAAATTGAATGAAATTCTTTAAGGCCTTTTTTTTCACATAGATATACAACATGTAGTATGTAACATGCCATATTACGTAAGTGAATTCATGTACATATCAGGATTACAAGAGCCAATTTCTCTGGGGTTACTTTGACATTAATACTCTTTAGAGTAACCCCCTTTCTTGAAATTTTTAAACATGCACTTGAGGAAGGTGGGTTTTAACTTTCTGTTGTCTATACCATTAGTTTTTCAGCATACAGTCCAGCACAGTGGGCTTGGATGACTTGGACTGAGCTTTACTTATCATATTTCCAATATTTCTGACTACTCTAGCTATTAAAAGCCTGCACTTCCCAGAAGGCTCGGGAGATCACTGGTTGGGGAAGTGATCAATGAGGAAACTTTGGAAGGATGGTGGCTCCTGGGGGTGGGCCTTAGCCCAGAGGTTAAGAAGCTGTGCAGCCTCCTGGGGGCACTGCAGAATAGGCCAGGCAGCACAGGGGAAAAGTTTGTTCAAGTTTGCAGGAGGGCCTTGGCTAAGGGCTGCAATCAGAAGGACCACAGCAGTCTCTCTGGGGTTCAACTTCCCAGTATTCCAATGGTGGATAGCACAGAAATGCAGTTAAACAGACCCAATCATGCTCCGTAGTGAGAAGCTGTGGAGCCACAAACACATTCTCTCGTCACAAACACATTCATTCAGAGGTTATACATTCCCCTACACACACCAGCCATACACCAGACGAGCCCTACCTGCTGATCCTGTGACCAAAGGAGAGTGTACAGGTCTCCTCTTCTACTCAATCCAAGTAGGTCTGACTAGGGCTCTACAGATCCCCAGGGACTTCAGCCAATTAACAAATGAGGCCTGACTGCCGATCCTATGACCAGAAGAGCATGTATGGGTCTCCTCTTCCACTCTAAGGTAGAGTGGGTCTGACTAGGGCTCTGCAGATCCCCAGAGGCTTACCAGATTACCAGAGTTGACCAAGGTTGATGCATCAGGTTCCAGGAGTTGGTCCTTCTCTCCAATTGGAGTCTGATGATCCATGAATGCTCAGCCTTGGGGCAGTCACCCAGGCTGAGGGATGTCATCAAACAAGACGGGGGTACACCTATCTCTCCACATGGTAGTGCCTGTCCTGGGGAGAAATGCCCTGGGATCTGTGGCTCAAAGGGTTAGTCTGATCCCATTTCCTGGCCAATGCACCAAAATGTTGCAGAAAACCAGAAGCCAAGGAATGGAAAGCAGCATTCAGAGAGATTAGGAGAACTATTTATTATGTCAGTGGGCATGGAGAAGTTAACACTCCAAATCTCCTGTCCCTCCTTGGGGTTAGACATGATCTTTTATGGGGGAATTGGGTAAGGGGAGGTCTCAGGCTCAGAGCCAGCCCTACACAGTGCCAAAGGGAGAAGGTCGAGAAGCAGGAAGATTAATCTATTCAAGGTACTAATTTAGTCAAAGTACTAATCTATTTAAGGTATTAATCCACCCAAGGTTTTCAGGTTACTCTGTAGCTCCAGGGAAGGGCAATAAGATTACCGGAGAGCAGAAACTTTAGACAGCCATCAGCCCAGAGTTATTAGTCATAGGAATTTAACAGTTTATAATGGAGGCGCTCCTCCAAGATAGAGTCATGCCTGCTTCATCATGACATATTTTTCTGTTTTGCTATACAAAAAACGTGTCATGGCTTTTTCAATGATCTGATAGATTTGCTGACACCTTCAGCTAAAACAAGCTTTAATCCGAAACACTGCTAATGAAAGAAAAAATGGGTCAACCAGAGTTTCAGTGAATTGATCCAAGAATTTAAATTCAGAAAAGAATATTTAATAGATCTTATGAAATCCAACCTTGAGACTGTTTCCCATTCCACCCATAAATTATTTTATTTATTTATTAGAGATTTTTGCTATAGGGTACGTGCGCTCACAAGAGAGACAGAAAGTGAGAAATCATCTTGGGGGAGGGGGGATGGCCATGCAGCAATCTCTTCTTCTCCATTCTCCTCTCCCAAGAGGGCACACACACACAATGCACCCCGTGTGAGTTTTAAACCACTGGGTCCTGGGACTTGAACTGTGGTCAACTATGTGGGAGTCTAGTGACATAACCATTCCACCATCTGCTAGTCCCCTTACCCATAAATTAAAAAAAAAAAAAAAAAATGAATGGAAGGCAAGAGATCCCAGGAAGTGAAAACTGAATGTAGACAATGTGGTAATCCCATCACTAGTAAAGGAAGCCCACATGGATAAATAAGTTATTCTCTGAAAGGGAGTAAAACTTTTTGAGGTAGTGAAATTGAGCAAGGACCCCCTAGTGTATTTTCTAAGGTTCTTGAAATATAAGACCCATTTACATTGTAATGGCCCAGAGTAAGGAGTAAGTTTTCAGACTTTGGTTATGGTAATGAAATGACATTGATCATAAACAAGGGACATTTGACCTCTAAAACTCACTTAAAGGAAAGTTAAGGTTTTCATTTCAATATGTAAGATGTTTTATAGGCTGGAAACTGCTGGTTGTGAGCTCAAAGACTCTAGGCTGAATGGCTCCAGACCGCAGAAGAGAAATTAGATTATCTAAGGCCTCACCAATCAAGAACGCCCATGAGATGATCATGTCCTCTTGAACAAATCACTGAACTGATTATGCGCCTGGGACCTGTGCCCCTAATTTTGCCTTTAAAAATGCATGTGGGGAACATCTTGGGGAGACCGAGTCTTTTCAGCATGAGCTGCCTGCTCTCCTTGCTTTGTGCTTTGTAATAAAGCTGTACTTTCCTTCATCACACCATGTGCCTATGGTTTGGTTTTATAGCGCTTGGGTGAGCGAACCTGATTTGAGTTCTGATTTGAGTTCGGTAACAACCTTTACAATCTAAGTTGATTTCCACAGGTAGAGTATTGTATACAAATGAAAAGGACATTTGAATGCCTTTGGAACTCAAAATGTAGTTGTTCTGCCTGTAAATGGTTGAAGTAATGTAGCAGCCATTGTCTTGATGAGAATAAAAAAAAAAGACTTATGTTGGGGTTGGCAGGTGGCATGGTGGTTGAAGGTGCTGGACTCCCACATGACCGACTGCAATTCAAGTCCTGGACCTGGCCGTTTGCTTTCTCTCTCTCTTTCTCTGTCTCTCTGGTCTAATTAAAATAAATAGTAAAGTTGTTTTTGTTTGTTTGTTTGTTTGTTTGTTTAAAAGAGGCTTGGGATTTGATGTTTTTAAATAAATGTTACTCTAGGTTGACTCTATGGCACAGTGGTAAGGTAGGAGAAAGGGACCCTAAAAATAAAGTTAGGTTATGGACCCAAGACACAGTTATGAAATGGCTTAGTTTTGAGATGGAGTCAGTGGTGACTCAGTGATTGACCTAGGCAGCATGATCTAGACCTAAAACAAAGGCTTTTTCCATGTCCCACCACATTCCAGGAAGAAGATAATGGTTTTCATGGCCCAAAGCTTCTAGACTAAGAATCTTCTGACCTTGACACCCACTTCAAAATTTGGAGAATAACTGGATCCACCCAGCATGTGCCCCTCCCTACCAAGAGGGGAATGCATGCACAAGCCCTACCTACAATCAAAGCCCTGATAAAACCTTTCCTGACCCACATAAAAAGCCTTTGCCACAGTTCTTCCTTGGCAACCCATTTTCTGGGAACTCTCCCTTTTGGGGAGCTCTCTTTTTTGTCCTTTATCTTTTAATAAATTCCTCACTTTACTATATGTACTCTGTATCCGTGACTCTAATTCTTTCTAAGCGTGGGGCAAGAAACCGTGTCTCACTGAGAGTGTGGGCCTGATCACTCCTGCACTCCGTGTTCCTGCGTCAATGGTAACGTACTGCTCAAGAGAAGCCAGGTTCCATAGGGTGACTGGTGTTTGGGCCTGGCCAGCCATACTGGGCATGCACGTGAGTGCCCAAGGTCCAATGGGCTGGAGGACTGGAGGAAGAGAGTTGTGGCATGACTGGGCTTTGTGGAAGTGCTCACCTCTCTCTCTCTCTCATATGCATGTGCTCTATCACAAATAAAAAATAATAATAAATATTATTTTCTATCCAGTGATGCTCTCATTCAAAGCCATTCAAGTTCTTATATATTCCAGAAGTATTTTGGTATCTTATATATTTCTCCCTCTGCCTAAAAGTTAGTATCAAATGGATGTCACTTGATTATTTTTCCTTTTATTTGTCAAAGGAGAGAAATGGAGAAGAGGATGTGAAGATTATCACCCAGCTCCAGTTTCCTGCCCTGCAGCTGGGGATGGGTTTCCTAAACCATGCCTACCTTTTTGTGGGAAGAGAGTCCTTTGTTAAATTCCCAGATGAGTTCAAGAAAGAATTTGGGTTAGTTGGTGCAGAATACCTCTAGCCAGGGATGGGCTATTGCCAAACTGCCACAGGAAGTGGCTGTGGTGTTGTCATCAAAAAGGGCAAGCTGGTGATCCTCAAGGGTGATTCCTTACAGTGAGTGAAGATTGAGAGAGGTTATCTGAGAGAAGCAAGTAAAGACTATCACCCAATGCTGGAGCAATCTGGAAAGGCATTTTCAAATCCTGGTATCTTCGTTAGGTTATCAACTACATTTAAAAATAGTCTGGGCTGGCTTTGCGGTGCTTAAGGCAGCTGATCCCACACAACTGGCCGAACAATTTGCGTCCTTGACCCAGTGGCCTCAGAAATACACCAGGCATGTGTATGTGTGTCCAAAATTCTGAAAAAGGAAGAGGTGGAGGAGGAAAGATAACAGCGTGACCATGGCCTATGGTGGCAGGGGGTGCCTGTGGGGGGTGCTTCCTCACTTTTCCTCCCTCCTTCTGCCTCTCTGGCGAATGTACAAATCCTCTGACAATATATTTTTTTTAAGTCTGTCATGTGTTTGTTGGGGGTATCTTTGTTATAAATCTTCGCTTTTACCTTGTTCTGAGGTAGTGGTTTGATTAAAAATATGACAGAGTTGAGGTATGTCACTCAGTAAAGGGGTTTATTCACCTATATATAAAACAGGAACAATGATTTGAGACACTCCCAGCCTTTCACAAATGATGGCTTGGTCGCTCAGACAACAGGTTACAAAAGAGCTTAGAGATCTTTCCATGAAAATGACATCTTTGGCACACACCCTGGGTTCTGTTACTCCTCTAGCTGAATTGTAAACGCTCAGTATATTTATCAACATCTATAAACACAATCTCTCACTTTTAAACTTGGAGAATTCACAAATCATTTTCATTTTTTCAAAAGAACTCTTGAACTTACAGTATTTGGAAATGTTCAGTAGTTACTACAAACATTTCATTTTTTTCTCTGCTGCTACTGACGCCAAAGAGTCTTACAAGTTGCTTTATCTTACTGTTTATGTGACTATTATCAACATGGTTTTGGCCAAGGTCATTCGTGAGGGGGAAAGCAATCCTGTAAAGGATGGATTATAGACCTGTTAACCTTTTCCTTTCCAACAATAAACTCTAGAAAAAGGCAGACTGTGGGACCAGCAGTTAGTGTAATGGCTATGTTGCTGGACTCTCATGTAGCCAACCACAGTTCGTGTCCCGGACCCAGAGGCTTAAACTCACACCAGGCGCATGTGCGTGTGTGCCCAAGATCCTGAGAGGAGAAGGGATTGCGGTGTAACCACCGCCCCTGGGGGGCGATTTCTCGCTTTCTATCTCTCTGTCTCATCTTTCTGGCAAGCGCATGCGCCCTATAGCAAAAACCCCTCCCCCACACACACACACAAAAAAAAAAAAGGAAAAAGAAAAAGGCAGACTTTGTTTTAGTCATCATCTGGCAACTAAGAGGTAGTAACTAAATACTTAGAACTCCAGAACATAGATAATATGTGGCAACAGGGGACCAGCAGTTGGTGCAATGGCTATGTCGTTGGACTCCCATGTAGTCAATTGTGATTTGAGTCCCAGACCCGGTGGCTTAAACATGCTGGGCACATGTGCATGCATGTCCAAGATCCCAAGAAGATAAGAGATTGTGGTGTAGCCATCTCCCCAGGAGGTGATTTCTCACTTTCTGTCACTCTGTCTCTCTGTCTTTCTGGCACGCACACGCACCTTATAGCAAAAACCTCTCCAAAAAAAAAAAAAAAAAAAAGATAATATGTGTAATATGTGGCAATAACAATCCCACTGATAGCATTTTGAAAGCCTAGCGGAACTTGATAAAGACAGAGGTTGCTGGTTAAAACTATTAGTTGATTAGTTGGAAATATCTATACAACCTAATAATTTGAGAATTGTTTTAAAGAAGTAGCTTCAAGCACATTTTGAACAATGTTATTAATATTTTGTATATGTATAACATATCAAAGGCTTTCTTTTGTGATTTAAAAAATTAGCTACATTTTTAATTAAAAATAACTTTTATTGGGTTTTCATTACAAAAGCAATACATATTACTCACATAATTTAAGCAACATTTTATTTATCCAGGAGATAAAACTCTTCTCCAGCAAAATGCATCTCCTGGCCTATAATAAAAATCAATGAGGAAAAAAGTATGCAAAAAAAAAAATCTATTGTACCGTAACATAATATTATCCTTTAACCAAAGACAGAGGTCCATACTCTGGATCTAACATAAGGTAACACTAGGACAATAAACTTAAAAGTTCGGGCTATCTAAATTTCTACTCCAAAGTGACAACAAAAAATATATTACATTCTGATTAAATATACATGTAAATGCCTTACATGGATAGAATAAATAACCAAATAAAAACTGTCCAATCATTAAAAGACAGTGTATTTAGATACAGAAATAGGCCTGCATTGCAAGAACAAAATTTAATTTACAGTACAGCATGCTACCAGCAGTCAGATGAAAGTCCCCTGCTCCAGAGCAGAGTAAGGAGCCTCTCTGAAGGCAGCTCTGTGTGTATAAATAAACTCCTAGTGGCTGGATGCTGAGCCGCCTGCAGCTCAGGTCATCACATTTTAGGTAACAGTCCTGTATCATCCACAGTATAAAAGAACCACTTGAGGGGAAGCTTCATCTCATTATTTACTTTCTTTTTCTTTTTATTTTTTGCTACTCACTCTTTGGTCCAGTAAGTGGGCAACTGAGTGAAAAGAAAAAAATATTTAAGCTAAACATGTACCGTTCTTTACAGATGTTGCTTGGAAGATACGATATCCTTCAGGGATCCCACACTCTCAAGAGTGACATACGAAAACCACATTTTCAGAGACATACTTGCACATTTGACAATGACTGATCTTGGAAATAGTCATCTCGCTGATCTGTAAGGGAAACCAAAGGGCTAATGCCTCAAGGCCTTGGCAGGCACTGGAAGGCCGTTCTCGAAGTCACAGCCACAGCGTTTTCAGAGAGCATGTCATGACAACGGACTCCACAGGAGGGCAGGTCCCCCTCCACCTGCCTGGGAGTTTTAAAAAACTCCCTGCTAGAGCTGGTTCTCAGGGGACCTTCTTTACTTCCTTACTACATCATGTGATGTAAGTGGCACCCCACTTTTCTCTCCTGTCCTTATTCCCAACTACTACACTGGCTTTCTCCAGCTACGAGAGGCACATAGCATCAGGTAGAAAATACATTATCTACAAGAGAACTTAGACAATGGGTACCTATCTGGGGGTCTTGCAGCCAGCTCCTGCCCTGAAGGGCATGGAACAAGAAAAACTTCTCTAAAGGAAAAGGCAACTGTTGACACTGCCTTCCCATCTCTGCAGAAGAGATGTTTCAGGGACTGAATCGCTCGGCTACCTTGCATTCACCTGGTGACTGGTCTTGTGTCCAGCATGGCAGAAGGTGACTGCTTGCATCAGTATGTGGAACTCTAGCCTGTTTGCCTGGAATGGATGTAGAGACCAGCTCTTACCACATGGAAAAGGCTTCCTGGAGTTTAGCTCCCACACTTAACAACTAAATCTGAAGAGGTGTTTTTGCACTTTAGGCAAGAACAGCCAACGAGGAACACAGCGAGTCACAGGCAGGGCATTAAATGCCTGAACAGAATGAGACTGGCCAACCAGGGCCAAACTCAGCAATGAGATATAACCTGTTCAACATTTGGAGGCACAGGAAGTTAAGCTTTTCAGTGTAACTGATATTCCCACTAGGCATGAGGGGAAGAAACATGGTGACGTTGTTGAGGCCATCCATTTCGGTGGCCTCAAATGTCCAGTCCCCACTGAACTTCCTGGTCTAGCCTCTGTGAAGCTTTCAGTAGATCTCAGTCCCCCGGAGAAGTCTAGCCTCAGCCTCCACATCGTCGGAAGAGACAAGAGAGGGATGCTACCGAGGGG